CAGGTTATGGCGGCCTTGAGAGCAATGGTAAGGAGTCTTTCTGAAATATGCTTTGTGAATCTAGATATTTACTTTGCAAGGAAAGTATATTGACATGTGCTTTAGTTTTGTGGATACAGAAAATGGCAATAGACTCTTATCTGTCTGTGTGACAGTTATGTTTATCTGAGACCCTGCTGCCTTAATTGAGGAGGATATCTGCTTTGCCTCACTTTATAATAGTAACAAGAATATCTGCACCAGACAGGAGAATTATTGGAAAAATAGTTCACTTGGCATGTATGAGGGGCTTTGTGTTCCTAATTTTTTTATTTATTTTATGAGACTTGGCCAATACAGAAGAAAAAAGTTACCATGAACACAAACTTCTCAAGAAAACATTACTTTAGGTAGTACAAAAGGGCTTGATAAATCTGCCAACGTCTCAATGCTCCAGACACACAGGCATGAATCAGTTGACCTCCATCAAATCAAGATCTGTAAGGATGCAGCGTTCAAAGTGCCAATCAGTTTCCATGATTGACTAACATGTTTTGTTTTCTTTACATATGAAAGAATACTACTTTCCACAGTTATCAAAGAGCAACTTCCAAGTAGTCTTAATAAGCAATAGCATGTTTCTGTGTGGTGTGTTTGTTTGCCTACTTGGGAAAAACAATAACACTCTAAGTGCTGTACTGGGAAGTAGAGCCAAACTGATGCTGCAGTTGAGTCCTGGGGAGATGAAAATAGAATGCTTGATTGCTGGTTATCTCATCAGTCCTTGTGAAAAGCAGCTGACAGTGTTCACATTTGGAAGAGGAGAGGAAACTGGGAATCCATTACGTTAATCCTGGTGTGTGTCAGTTACACGAATATCCACGACTGCCATTCAGAAAACAGAGAGATGGTGCTTAAACTGTAATTCAGATATGTCCATTCTAATACAGTAACAGAACGGTAAATTAAGGAAAAAATTAGCTTTGTTCCTTCCAACTCCATTGGAGGTAATGGAAATAGGACTACTGAAGCTAGACAGGGTAACTGGGATTTTTCCTTCTCTGCCTGATTTTGTTACTAAATGCTGTACTTTGGATTTGGCATTATGAATGTTAGCCACTAATAGGCATTTAAATTGAGAGTAGCTTATAGAATATCAGTGGCCATCTTACTTGCAATAAACTTTACAAAACTGTAACAAAAGCAGTTAGTTCTTTCTCTCCTAACAGTGAACAGCATGGTTGCTGGTTTGACACCCGCATGCTCGTCTCTCTCCCAGTGTTTGTGTCTTCACACTTTAAACTCCCTTGCAGAGCTTCTGATCAGCTACTGCACAAGATACCCAACAGGTTTTAAGACTAGACAGTTTGACAATGCCCACAGTCAGCAGGGAAGGCATTTTTGGTAGATATTGATAGATATTGGGCTACCTCTTGAAATCTTTAGTAAAGTCACATGGAAGAGATGTACTGGTAACATGCAGTGCTATTCTGTACTCAGTCAAATGAAAAAGGAAACTAAGTGGAAAGGACTAGATTCTGACAACGAAGAAATAGAATGCAATGTTCTGATTTTTTTTTTAATGCAATTTCATTTTTCCTTTCCATCAGTTATTGGTCTTACGTTCTTGACAATGACATACACGCTCTGGGCTTCAGAATCACGGTGTTGCTCAGCTTTAGAAAAGTCTTTCTTTTTTATATTGCCATCTGCAATACCATCCATTTATTCATGTAGTACTAGAAATGCACAGTTTCCAGACTATTTTTTAATTCCTTTTTTTCATAGTAGAAAGAAATTTAATTAGATATTGTAAAAAGATCTTAGGTCTCTGATAACCCTCCTCCCAAATGTGCTGATGTGGCTGCATGGCCCGAGGGCACCTCTCAGCACTGCCAGCCTGAGGCTGCCAGAATGGCAGAGGTCTCCTTAAAGACCAGAGGGCTGCTTTTTGCTTCCTTGACATTTCTGAAAGTAGAACAGAGCTTCCATATGATGTTCAATGCATAAACTTTTTTCTGATTTCAGAAACTTTTCTTCATATTTGGTTGGGAACAAAACTTTCGAGGTTGACTTCAGAATTTGAGGAAGTCTAAGAAGGAACAAAAACATTTGGGGCTAGGAAGAGATCTAGGTCTCTTGGGGGAGACCAAAGAAACATTAGGTGATGATCTATGTTCCAATTTACAAGAATTTTTCCATCAGCTGCACTCAAAGAACTTGAAATACACTTTTTTTTGGTCTTTGTAGAATTGCTCTTTGCCTTTCAGAGTGAATCTGGCAATTTTCCAAGGCAAACTTGCAAAGCAGTAGAATAAATCACTTGCAGTGTTTGGCTGGTAGGAATCCAAGCAGTAGAGAAACTACCTCGTTTCTAGAAAGCCTCATAAAAAATGGCAGGGTTTACTTAATCTTTTTGACTCAGTAATATTTCTGTTTGAGTCTACAGTTTGCAAGCCATAAACATTGTGACAAATAATGAAGTAATCGTGCAATTAGGACTCAATTACTTATACTGTGACAGTGACATCTTACTTTTTTGCCCCCCACATAAAGAAATAAATATTTCTTTTGTGTCTTTTTGTTCTCTTTGGTGCTAGCTTGTTTTCTCTCCTGGTTTTACTTTTCTAGGGCTGCCTAGACTGTGTTCTGCTGTGAGGCAGTAAGAGCGTAACGTATATTTTGTTAGTTGTGCTGAGTGTAAGTGAGGAGTAGAGGAGCTGTGGTTTCTTTCCCTCTCCAAAACTCTACCCAGCTGAGTGGGGCATGGAGCAGAAAAGGACAGAGTTTAGCCTTCTGATTCTGTGCCGTTCTATGGTAAATCAAAGGTAGATGTCTAGCCAGAATCATACCATGTTGTTATCCCTAGAACTCTGGTACAAAGACAGGACTTGAGCAGAACAGGGCACTGAAGGCCTGGTATAGAGTCTCTTTGGGGTTCAATCTCGTGTCCACCACCATTTCATAAACAGACTCATAAATGGTTGCTTCATGTATGCTATGAGTGCATCTCATGCTGCTTGGCTACATGAAGATTTTTGGCAGTTGTTCAAATAGTTCAGCTACTTCTACTGCAAACCTTTGGCGAAGGGGAAACCAAGATGAAACCCTGGCTCAAACCAGCCATGTAATGCTGTCTTAGGATCATAGAAACCTTAGAGTTGGAAGAGACATCTGAAGACTATCTAGTCCAACTCCTCTGCAGTGAACAGGGATGCCTAGGGCCTGATCCAGCCTCTTCTTGAAGTCTACAGGGACAGAGCATTGACAACATCAATAAGTAACCTGTTCCAGTGCCTCATATACTCGCAAAAGATTTTTTTCTTATATCTAACCTAAGTTTACCCTCTTTGAGTTTGAAGCCATTTCCCCTTGTTCTGTCTAGAAACCCTGCTAAAGTGTTTGTCCCCTTCTTTCCTGTAGCTCTCCTCTAGATGCTGAGAGGCTGTTATCAGGTTTGCAGCCTTCTGTTCTCCAGGCTTAAGGGTCCCAGCTCTGTCCTCATAGGAAAGGTCTTTAGTGTGTCTTTGTGAGTTTCCAGGCCACTGGTCTCTCAGTAAGTCTGCTGCAGATATTCCTGTCTGAAATGACTTCCTGTAATAGAGGTTTGTATCCTGTGTCCCATATGAAAAGCACTCAGTATTGAGCATTCCTCTTTTTCCATGGAGACCATAATTTTTTTTTCCCAAGTGCTTGAAGCCCAGATGACACAGTCAGTGTAAATGCCAGTGAAACCATGCAACTGTTCAGTCTGGTGTCTGGGAACCAGACTCACAGATGCCTAATGCATAGTCACTTTACCTCTGTCTAGGACTGTGACAGAGCTTGCTGCTTCCAATTTTGTATGTTTTCCACTTTGAAGTCCCAGTCACATCTATGTCAAGTGTTTTATAAATGCCTCTGGCTTTGTTCTGCACCTAAATGCTCTTCTCAAGGCTGTATGAAAGTCTCCTAAAGAGAGGTCAGGATGAAGTCGCTTTTGGGTGAAACAGGGACTTTTTTTTAGTGGTCAGTCAAATTTCTCTTCTGAGAGTGCTTCATCTGTCTGCTTGTCACAGCAGCAGTACTTCAACTTGATTCTGAATGGATGCAGCTGGATCTGAGGTGCCAGAATAATCTGTTTTTTTCATGAGATGACCAATGCATTAAAATTAAGCAGTGGCTGACTTAAATTTGGACCTAAATTAGACCATAATACCATTATTCTTAGGAGACCCTAATAAGAACTGGAGAATGACACAAAATCAACAGACGTCTAATTTAAAAAAACTAAACTAAAACTCAGATGCTAAGCAAAATTGACTCTGTTCAAACCTGTTAAAATAGATTTTCCAGGAAATAACGTTTCCAAGAAAGAGTTTTAACCTCAGGTTTTGAAGAATGTCTCCTAAATGAATAAACAGAGAAGTAAAATAAAAATCCATTGTTTTAAAATAAATAAAATTTATTTTTTATTTTTTATAAATTTATCATAGATCCCATACAGTATGAGTAGCATGTGGTTTTCTTTTGAGTTTTATCAACTTCTTAAAGTATTCTTGATAGATATAATATTCTACCCGCTTCCAACACAATGCACTTCTCACTTTGTGTGTGATTTAAATTATTCTACTAGCTATACAATCCACACATGCTGAAAAGAAATCTCAGGATCCTTTGCTTTCAATTGATATTAATTCTTTCAGTTTCCTCCATCACAGGATAGCCTGAAAAAGGCAAGGAGATTCAGTCATGGAGATATCACACAAGGAAACTGCACCCAAAAATTTATTCCAAAGGGACAAAGATAAATCCTCTTCGTTCCAGATGAGTTAACGAGGGCTCGGCATGAAATCAGTCAGACTGCTCATTACAAGTCTCTTTTACTGTGCTTTCTTCTTTCCCATCTGCCTGAATTTAGATATGCCTTCAGATTTTCCTCTAATTACTTGCTTCTGAGGATTCTGGTCTGCCTTTGGCCAGCTGCTTTTTTGAAACAAGTTTTCTGTCTCTGGATAATAAGGCATTTTTCTTCTTTTCAGTGATGGTTGGGCAGACAGAGATGAAGTCATTGAAGGTTATGAACAGGAAGCAAACGGTGGCATCACCATCAAACTGCAATCTCCAGAGGTCTTGTCATTTGATGACTACTATCTGAAGCTGCGTCTGGATACCAATACCCGCAATCCTTGGTTTCCTGAGTTCTGGCAGCATAGATTTCAGTGTCGCATCCCTGGACACCCACTAGAGAATCCCAACTTCCAGAAGAATTGCACCGGTAATTTATCAGCTCTTTTTCTGTTTGAATGTGTGCTCTGGGAAAGAAAAAAAAATAGCTTTATTTGTTTGCTTATAATTTATTAATCATGGTGAATAGTGAGAATGAAATTGTAAATACGTAAGTCAAAATTCTGGGAGAAAAATGTCTAGCACAGATTCCTCTCAGCACAGTTCTGCTCTGTCATAAAGCAGCTCATTCCACTTTAAGGTTTTATGTCTATACTGAGGCTGAGGTGAATGCCTAAACTTGTAATATGGCTACATGGCCATGAATGGGATAAGATAAGTAACAGTTAAATTTTACGAAAAAATTGAAATAAATTGAAACCTTTTTTCCAAAATTTTCTCCAACCAGCAGGATAGTCACAAAATTCAAAGAAAATACTATAGCAAAAAAAGAAAAATCAAGAAAAATCATTGTGTCTTCAAACTGGGAAATCATCTGTTTCACACTTTCTTTTCTTCACCCATTAAAATGCATAATCTTTTTCCACTACATAGCACTTATTTATCATCAGTGTCCTACACATAGAAGCAATACTTACCTCATAGTGAGAGAAGTGTATCTGCTCATAAACAGTTTTTTTTCTTCCATGTCAGGACCTGAGAAAATTAACTTTATCTTAGTAAGATTAAATGTACTGGTAAATTTAGATGGAAGTGATCACTTTTATAAAAAATACTTACTGAATAGTTTTGGAAGTATTTAATTGTAGTTGGTGAATATTTCATCTCCAGTCAAAAGAGTACAATTTAATAGTAAGGAAGTTACTCTGTGGAAAAACAGTAATGATGAAATCTGACTTCCCATGGATTTTTGCCCTATTCTTTATGTCTCTAACCCCTTTATCCAATTGTGGTAATCTCATTTCATGCACCCTGACTTCTCACTGTATTTATAGTTCCTATTCCACCAACAACACTTCTTAACATCACCTTCCAACCTTTCACATTCCCTTTAGTTTCCCCTCAGTTCTCTTATTAATAGATGAGCCATATTAACACACGCTGTGACTGGCTCAAAAATGGCATTTTATGATGACTGGCAAAGGAACTGTTGTGTGTTATGTGTTGTGTGTTATTTTTTTTACTCAGAGGAATTATTAACTTTGCATTCTACCAAAATGTTTGTTATATATATTTATTTTAAGGCTGTTTTTCTTCAGAGAAAATAGTTAACATAGACCAACGAGCAGAAATTACTAAGGGAAGAATGCATGATGGACACACAAAGCAAATACATAGGTTTCTTTCTTAAGAAACTTAGAGTTAAAATCATTTTGCTTTGGTTGTGAAAAAGTTTCAGGCTGTTACTCAAAATGTCTGATTTCTGCTGAATCTCAGCAGCTGTAAGCATGGGTAGTATGTTATCCAGTCTCCATTTAGTTATAAAACTAAACAATAGACAGGACTGGCATGATCATTCTTTGCTACCATATCAAAGGCAAATATCAGCTGGAGTAAATGGGTTACTTCTTCACAATGAGTAGATGAGTTGTCAGATACATGCTGCTGTGAACTACAGATTTGTACTTGAGAGAAAAATCCACAAAAGAAATTCATAGGAAAAAATAATGGTTGGCTTTATGGAAAAACAAAGAAATACCACTAAACTTTTTAGGAAATCTCAGGGCTGAAGACATTGAATATTGGTGAAGGTGCTGCAGAGTTACCATCATCTGCTGTGGTACGGGTACAAACCTGCTGTGGTATTTTGTGCTCCTCAAGCAACGGGTATCAGAGACATTTTGATAATATTAGTGGAATACTAAAACATCAGTACACTCTGACAGTTAATTGTCATAATTCAGGCACTCTAACTTTCATATATATATATATAACACTCTATCTTTCCCTCCTCCAAGAATCTCAATTTTTTCACGGAGCTTTGAAGTATGTGGTACTTCTTGGGCTTTTCTCAAAAACTGTCATCTCTTAAACTTGAGGATGAACTCTCAGGATCATTATGCAGAACTGAGAAGTTCATAAATGTCTCAAATCACAAAAGCAAAACCCACCAGGTATCTATTCCAAATAATAGCATATCTGTAGAATCAACAGACCTATGTGTCCCCGGAGCTTGGGAGCAATGCACTATCTTATTGTATTTTTCTTTAACTGCACAGATCTGACTGGCCATTTCACACACTCACACATATGCTTCACCACAGCTTTCCACGTGAATATCTTTATCTGAATTTTTTGCAGGGTGAAGAATGCTGTTTAAAATACTACCAGCTCCAAAGCTTGCTGATGGAGCTGTCCTCTCCAAGGAGGTTTAGTATGGCAGTGTTAAGAAAATGCCTTTTTTTACCTATCACAAATTTGGAAACAGGCCTCTTTACAAGCATGTGGGGGAAAAAAAAATCTGAATTGCCTCTCACATCCTTCACAAAGAAGGTTATGTGCACAGATTTGAAAATGAGGGCCACACAGGTCAATAAATAAAAAGCAATATTTGAAGTCCACTAAAAGCACTGACAAACTACATTCTGACTTTGTTACACCACAAATTAAAATCTTGCTGTTACTACTCCATCGCTTCAGGAAAGGTATCAGTATTGAACACTGGTATTAAGCTTCTGAACTCCATTATAGCTGAGAGCTTGCTTTCTTACCTCTCAGTATGCCATCAGTATTCCTGTAATAAGGCATACAGGATCCTTCATTATGGAAAACGCTGAGTACCCTGTGCTCTCAGGACTCCTTGTGCAATATTAGCATTCATTGTGACTAAGTCTTGGTCCTGATCAGTTCTGTATTCCAAAAGAGCACTGGTAGTCATTACTGAAAACACAGCACACCTGCACTCTATATAAACAGAAATTCAATCAAAGGTAGTAGTCTGCTCAGATTCATCTTCAGGATCCAGGGAAGCTTTCTAATGAAGAAGAATAACAAGGGTAAAAGATACTTGTGTTGTCTAGGGGAGCATAGTGTCCCTGTATTTACCCATCAGTGGGATCCATGAGAAAAAACACAAGCAAGAGAAGATGATGTATTCCTCCAACTACCTTGTTCAGAGTCAGAATTCTTGATTTGTTCCAGTTTGAAGAGAAGATTAATTACAAAGTTTGTATTTGAGTATCTTAAATTACTTCTTGCCCAGTATAATTTTCTCACATGCGAACTAATTATTTTATTGAGTGATTCATTCAGAATTGGCACTGGAATGTGAAGTTCAATTTTCAGCATTCATGGATAGGCAAGGACTGTTCTTCAAACAATTGCAGCTGCTGTATTTGCAATTTCTAAGCACTGTTGAGTCAGCACTAGATTGGGATTGCAGACTCTAGAAAACAAGGGAGAAGCAAGTTCTTAGAAATCCCCCTTCCCCTATGACATGAATTCTCTCACTCTGTTCCTGAGAAGATTGATGTCATCCTTCAGGAAATCTCATGTTGCACTGAACTCTGTGAGTATTTCTTGCAAAAATTAAAAAGAAATACCCTACTTTTCCCCTTTGGGTAGTAGCTCCCACTCATTTGGCTATTTCTGACTCATTCTTTGCTGCTGTTATAGCCAAATGAGTCTCATAAGTTGACTGCCTTGCTGTCTCTCTCTTTTTCATATATACTCTTCCCAACACGATAAGATTCAAGTCTAAAATTTTTCTTCTGCATAGAAAAGAGATATTTTTATATAATATTTTTTTTTTTCTCTGTGCTTGATTTCTAGAAGGCCAAAACCACTTCCAGTATAAAGTTGTTATTCTTAAAATATTCATTCTGCTACTGAGTGTTTTCCATGTAGTAACTGCATTCTTCAGGAAACCTAGTGTGTCCTGCGTCTCTGTATGAACAACTGACTCATGGGGAGCTTCAGATCTTCACGATATTCTTCGTGGCCTTCAGATGGCAAATCAGAATAGTGTAGTCCATTTTAACACTACCAGAAAAACGCTGCTTTTGAATTTGAGATGTTAAGAAACTACCTCAGAATGATCCTGATGCTAAGTTCCCTTGGCACGCAACTTCCAGAACTGCTCCAAGCAGCAGTCACTGCTTGTGTCTATTCATCAGACAAATCAGCCATTTCCACATCTAGGAGACTGTACGCTGATGGCAAGATATGGTGATAGACTGTACTGTCAATTGACAAGCACTTTTCCAAAAGCTCTCTAGGAGGTTTACTTCTCTCAGAGCTGATAGAAATATCCTGAATAGAAGTCCTTTTCTCCTCACTAAACTACAGTTATGGAGGTTTCTCTGTTGGACCTGACAAGCTCACATAAGCATGAATTAAATGCAATTCTCATGTACATGGATATGATGTAGAACTCAGTGCAATTCAAACACTTCTATGGAGGTTTCACTGCTTGTCTACAGAATGCCTATTCACCTCTTGGCAGATAATACAATGGCTGCAGTTTATGTGAACTGCATAGGATGAATACTCCTCTGCAGCACAAGAGAGTTATGAAATTTGTTACGGAACTTATGCAAACATCAGATTGTGTTCACAGCAGTTCATCTGCTGGGAAAACAGAATGCATAGACAAGAAATCAGCACAGGCATTTTTTGACAGAGTGAAGTGGAACAAAGTGGGCAATTCAATGATTCATTGATTTAATTGATTTTTGAGGAGAAAGATTATTTATCAATGAACCTGTTTGTGGTAGGCAAGAACAAGAAATGTAAATTTTTGTTTTGTTTTGTTCCAGGCCAAGTTCTCTTGGATGCTTACTCACACCTTTGTCATGCTGTAAGGATTACTTTATTTGCTAATTCCTGTCTGGGTACAAGGAAAGACAAACAATCAGACTGAGTACAGCCAAAGTCACAGAATTACGTAATTGCTCAAGCTGGGAGGTAGCTTAAGAGGGCTGTAGTCCAACCTCCTGTTCAAAGAAGGATCAGGTCTAAGTATAGCTTCGAGGGTTTCAGGATTTTATTCACTGAGGACTTGAAAATGTCTAAACATGGAGGCAGCAAAGCCCTCTGGGCAACCTTTTCCACAGTGAGGATGTGAAAAATTTTGGCCTTATATTCAATCTC